ATATATATATATATGTAAACATATATGTTTATTTATGCATGCATGTCTTCATGTGTTTATTTCGCAGTTCTTTTCACCTGTGTTTCCCAGTCATTTCGCACTTGTTGGACGTTCTCGTTCAATTTCGTCCTCAAGTCTGCTTCCCGTCTCAGATAACGTAGAGCCCGATTATACGGATCCGAAGGCTAAGGCACTATGGTTTAGATTTCCAGGGCCAAAACTCTTAAATCCTGATAGAACTCGTATAGTAGCCCTCATAGAGCCCTTCTGGTAAGCCTTAGAAGAGGGATCCACATTCTTCTGAATCCGTTCTCATTTTCCCCATTGCATCTCTGGCCTCTCAACTCTACGGGGGTTTAGGGTTTAGGGTTTAGGGTTTACTCGAGTTCGTTGTTTTTTTGGTTTACGGTTTCTTCAAAGCGATCTCCGCTTCGAGGTGGTGCCAGGGCTGGGGCTACTCACTAGAAGGGCCGCAAAAAGAGGGTACCCCAGCTTTGACAAGCCCTAAAGATACAGAAGCCCTGGACAGGAGGATCAGGCTTCGTTTCGAGTTTCGGGAGAACATTATACTATCTTATCAGTATGCTAGGGTTTTGGGTTTCGGGAGAATCAGTAACATTATATAATTAATATAGTTATGCAATTATGTACCCCACAACCTTGTTGTAATCTAACTATATAGGCCCACCTCAAGTACCCTTTCTTGTTGCCTGAAGACATCGCTTATGAGATCTATAGGCCATAGGCGCTCTATTAAAAGCTATTTGGGGTTCCTGGTGGGTGTAAGGGTTTAGCGGTTTAGGGGTTTAGGTTTCAGGGTTTAGGGTTTAGGGTTTTAGGGTTTAGGGTTTAGGGTTTAGGGTTTTAGGGGTTTAGGGGTTTAGGGGTTTAGGGTTTTGGGTGGAGGACAGCTTGGTTCATCCTTGGAACTTTCCTTTTCAGGTCAAGGCCTTGCGGAAGCCAAGAAAAGCGATCACTTAGGGCATACCCTAAACCCTGAACCCTGTACTTAAACACTAGAGACCCTGGTTTTTAAGGGTTCCTTATGATGATTTGCGCGAGTTGAGATATGGTCTAGTCTAGGGTCAAAAGATCACGCTTCCCGAAGCTAATCAGAAATCCCGAAGCTGCTACAGGGGCCCAGTATAGTATAGGGGCCTAAATATTTACCTATACTATATTGGGGGTTCCTGATTATACATTAATTAAAGAATAATATACCCCAAAACCCTGTTAAAATTATGAAGGCCCTACACCCTAAACCCTTATAGTAGCTCGTATCGAACCCTTTACGGGGCCCTTAATAGCATACCCCAAAACCCCTGTTGAAATTATGAAGGCCCCTGTATTAGAACCTTTTTTCCTTTTCAATTAATACCTACCCCGAGAGCCCAATACCCTAATTAAGGGGTATTGGGCTCTTTGGGTACTACTTGGGTAGTCGGGTGGAGGATAGCTGTGCTTGCAGGTTAGTAGTAAGGGAGTATGTGATCATTGGGCATCTGGAATTGAGGAGAACGCAAAACCCTAAACCCTAAACCCCTGAACCCCTAAACCCTAAACCCAAGCTGAGCCACAAATTTCGGTGCAGGAGCACTCCCTACCTGCCAGCTACTTGCACAGAATTCAGAAGCATCAGCGGTCCTGGTCTCGAAAACAGAAGGATTTCAGGCCTCTGTTCAGAATGTGTGGATTTTTTGGGTTATTTTGAGTGGGTTTGTATTCATGACGTAGCATCGGTGCACCATAAGCCCTATACACTATTTTGGTCCTAAATGCTTGTGCCCATTCGATGGTTATGTACGGCTGGTTCTTGTGGGCGCCCGGCTCGTAGGTCTTGGGGTGTCTAAGCTTTATGTAGCGTTTCGGGTTGTAGGGTTTAGGTTTGGGGTTTAGGGTTTCGGGTTTATGTGGGGTTTAGGTTTGTGGGTTTAGGGTTTATTAATATGCAGGGTCTGGTGTTTGGGGGTTTAGGGTTTAGGTTGCGTTCACGTGTGGGACGGTGCCAGCCTCAAGATTCAGCGACGCTCCTTTCGCACCCTGCCCAGAGCCCTGATGCCTAAAACCCTAGACCCGAAACCCCTAAACCCCTAAACCCCTTAACCCCTTAACCCCTTAACCCCTTAACCCCTTAACCCTGAAATGAACAAACCCAAAACCCGCGGGTTTCGGCTTCAAGATTCGATAAGTTTGCATGGCTCCGAACCTTTGAAGCCCAAGGCCTTGCTGCAAAAGCTTTCAGGCATAGGGTTTAGGGTTTAGGGTTTAGGGTTTAGGGTTTAGTGCTTAGGGTTTAGGGTTTAGGGTTTAGGGTTCAGGGTTTAGGGTTTAGGTTTTAGGGTTTAGGGTTTAGCGTTCAATCACCGCCTTCAGCTCGATGAACCCCAGTTTGGTATGGGTTTAGGGTTTAGGGTTTAGGACCACCTGCGTCGGTTCTATGAACGCCTCTTTTACATAGGTTTGGGGTTTAGTGTGTAGGGTTTGGGGAGTCATTCGGTTCTATGAGCCCCAGTTTTATGTAGGTTTCCATCTTTCTGATCCCTAAGCCCTAAACCCTGAGCCCAACACCCACAACCCTAAAGCCTTAAACCCTACGCCTTAAACCCATAGCCCCCTTAGGTGCCGAGATTGCCAAGCGCCTCATCCACGCCGACCCACTTGTCCGGCGACTCACTGTTGAATGCGTTCAGCTCATGGGCATCTTGGCAGGACATGTCAAAAAAAGGTTTAGGGTTTAGGGTTTAGGGTTTAGGGTTTTAGGGTTTAGGGAGACATGGGAGTTTCCGAAATTAGGTGTACCTTATTTTGGGGTCCTTATAATAAGGATACTACTATTTAGAGTGCTATATTAGGGTCCCCTATTTTTGGAAACCCCCACATGTCAAGAAAAGGAGGGCCCTTCGTAATTCTATTAGGGGTTTAGGGTTTAGGGTTTAGTAGGCCTTTACGGTATACGATGCTCTGAATAGTTATCGGTTCTTGTGAGCCTTGGTACGGGTATGATAGTTGGAATTGGGCTTTGGGAGTCCGCTGTAGTAGAACTATAATAGGAGCACGGAAGGATGATGTCAAGACTTGTTAGAATTTGGGTTTAGGGTTTGGGGTTTAGGGTTCAGGGTTTAGGGTTTAGGGTTTAGGGCTTAGGATTGAAGTTATATTGCACACTTCAGGGGTATTTGGGACTGGAGTCCTTCACAGCCCCCAGTACGATTGTAGCTTGGCCCAGGGCAACAGCAACTGCAAGTGAGTATTTCGGCGAGTGCATGATGATTGCGTGCCCGGACGCTTTCGGCCCAGGGAAGTCTGAGGAGCATGGGTTTAGGGACGATGAGGGATTTCTGGGATGTCCTCACCCCCACGGCACACAGGATCTCTACAGAATAAGTCTCTGAACAAGCAATGGTGCTCTCGTTCAGGGTCCGAATGGAACTATTGTGTCAGAGACGCATCCAAACCCTTGTCCGTAATCTTGCGATACAAGAGCCCTTTTTGAGGAAGAAGAATATACTCTATAACTATATGGACACATACTAGTAGATCACAGAGCTTGTAGGTTGTGTGCGCCTGGCGTTTTTCGCCCATCTTTTCCGACCTCGCACCATTCACGGGATTCAGATTACCATGCCTGCTGTAGGGCTTTTTTTGGACTTTAGACTGACCTTCCTCTCTAATCACCCTAAACCATTAGATAAGAAGCTAAGGACCCTCCAGGTGAGCTACGAAGACCTAAACCCTGAACCCCACTCCAACCCAGGTCCCTACGGGGCGAAGATGCTTCCAAGGGCCCTCCAGATGCAAATCGAGAGCTTGGAGAGAAGGGAGGACCCCCAGTTCAGAGGTGGGATCCTTTAGGGTTCAGGGTTTAGGGTTCAGGGTTTAGGGTTTAGGGTTTAGGGTAGTACGTGTCAGGGCTTGACGTGTCCGTTGGTGGCTGAGAGCTGTAATGTAGGGGTCTGGATCAGTCTGAAGTTGTTTTCTTGCGAGTTCCTCCCTAATACCTAAGCCCTAAACCCTAAACCCTAAACCCTAATCCCTAAACCCCTAAACCCTAAACCCAGTAGTAGAGTAGGTAACCTTCAGCTCATAATTCGACGGAGTTAGTCCCACGCCTTTCCCTGGGGCCCCCACGCTCATGACCCGCCGTGCTTTAGCTTTTTCGGGGGACTGTAACTTCTATAGGGGTAGTTGTCAAAATTATGGTCCCTTTTGGGGTACCCTAAATAATAGGTGCCGTATTATAATAAGGACCCAAAAAGGGACCATAATTTTGACAACCACCCATAGAACCCCAAAGGTTAACCCTTAGTTCCCTTAGCATACTGCACGTACTGGACAGGTAGGTAGAGTCAATAGCACTGTGGTGAAACTGCGAGAGCCCGAGTCTCATGAAACCCCAAGCCCTAAGGAGGACGAGAGAGACCTGGGCGCCAGCCCGAAAGCACCGAAGTACTGGCTGGACTCGACGCCCAGCGAAGATGGCTTGCTGTTCCCGAGGCCGATCGACCACATGTGCGGGGGACCGAGTTGTTGGGAGAAACTCCCATATGCAGACGTCTCTAAGAGACATGTCCAAAGCTGGAGCCAGCACACTTGGCGGCCAGACCCGTGGTCTGTCATGAAGGACTTCCTCCGTGCCCGTATGACACCAGTGGATCTGCAGCTGTTTCTTACCAACTGCCGGCGTACCCAGAGCCAGCTGCCGGATGGCTTCGACCGGTTCTCTCTTAAGGGCGACCAGACATACCCCCCGAATGCTCCGCCATAGCGCTCCACGGCACGTGCCCTCACGCACTGTTTTCGATCCTCACCAACGGTTTGAGGAGCTCCTGCGAGGCCATAGATGGCTCACGCTACGTCCTTCTTCGGGATGGCACGCGCCTGGAGGGAGTGGATGCTCACGCATCTGAGAGAGCTGGCAAATCCCTCTACACCCTAAACATCAGACCCTACTCCGCTACACCCAAAGTCCTAAACCCAGACCCAAAGGCCCTTAAGAGATCAACCCCGACCCCCACGACACCTGTGTAACGGAGCCTAAACCCTAACCCCTAACCCTTAAGCCCTACACCCTAAGCCGTAAACCCCAGCAAAGTTGGAGAAGTCCAAAGACATGGGAACACCAACAACAACAAACGCATATAGAAGGCTTTGAAGTGAAAGCTCATCAAAGGCCTGAAAAACGGGTAGGAGGAAGGTAGGTGGGGCAGTCCCAAAATCAGAGCCCTACTAAGTCCTACCATCATCCCACTTCTTCAGGCCTTCAAGATACAGCCCCCCCCCCCGTGTGCAGCTTAAACCGGGTCTATTTAGCAGCTGGAACCGTGGGTATTGAACAATACACCACGACCAGCTGCTAAATAGACCCGGTTCTGGTTTTGCTATGTGTGCACGGCCGGAATTAAATAATTTAAATATTGGGAGGGATCCCGGATTTAAA